GGGAGGGTTACCTAATATTCATTGTTGGCCCCTTACTGTTTTTAACAGTGATCTCTGATAATTAATGACACCATAACTTTAAAGTTCCTCTCTTTCATTGCATTAAAGGAAACGTTGTTAGTCTGTTACTGTGATTATGAACATTCTGCATCACTAAAATGTATAAAATATTCAATTACCCTACTATATATTATGACCCGAAAATTGCAGCAAGGAAGTTATTGGAGAATCTGCTAACGCTTTCTAATTGGGAAATGATAAACTTACAAGTTTGATCTTTTCTTGGGAAATTAAAAGTGAATTTAGGGAATAGTAGATCCTGCTGTAAGGTTTGGGGTTGAAGCCCGTTACAGAAGTGACCCAATTGCAAACCTCCTTTAAATTTGGGATTAAGGACATGCATGTAGGCTGCATCGACTTGTACGTGTAAACCAACTAAGGAGAGTTACTTTTAAAAAATGTTATGTATTTTCTCCTTTAATTTTTCTTTATGATAAAAATAAATAAAAAATCTTCATTGAACAAAAAATTAGCTTGATTGGGTTTTGTGTAGAGTTTGAAAACTGTGCACAATAGTTAAGCAAACAATTGATTCGTGAAAAAGGCAAAAAATTTTAGAAAGCTAAAAATTGAATCGAATCAAACGAGAATTGATAATCATAATTGAAAATGATTGAGAAACTAGCTCGATTTGATCGGCTTTGATCATATTAGTTTGGTCTTAAAACTTAAATCATTAATTTCTTCTAAATTGGTTGGAACAATCTTTAAAAATAGCAATTGAAACTTTCCTATATTCAGACTAATTGAATCGAACTGAGTTAGATTGGATCAGTCAGTCTGTGGTTTGCACATCGTGCACCTGACTCTTGAAACTTGTTTTGTATTACATAGAATAACAACATGGTTTGGTTATCACCGTATTAAATAAATTGAGAATAAAAAAATAGGTACTAAATCAACAAAGTTCTTATTTTAAATTTTATTGATTATAACTTAAAAATAAATATTACCTTAATATAAAAATTCAAGTTTTCAAATAAAAAAGAAAGGGAAAAAAATCAATTTTTTTTGTGAACCAAAATTAAGGAATAAAATTCCCCTATTTTAGAAATTTTTCTTCCCTTCCAATTCTAGAAGAAGATCAAGTGGACCTAATGGATTTTAACACTTAGCGGTCTGAAATTGAAGGTGTTTTTCCCTTTTTTTATTTTTTTTTTTTTTTTTTAAAAAAAAAAAAAAAGGGAAAATTGAAGGTGTGATTTAAGTATTTCAATCACTTAGGAATATTACTATTGGCTTGAAGTAAGTATAATGTACTACAGCAATTTTCAGGCTTTGAACAAATAGGACAGAAATGGGTAAGGTCCACTTGGCCCATCAGAGCTTTACAAATTAGTTTTCTTAGTTTCTGTACCTATAAATATTATTGCAGGCCTTTGCTTTTACAACTAATCAACACCATCTTTCTGTATTTGCTTGGGTTTACATTATTGAGATGTTGTTTTCACCAAAGCGTTCAAATAATTTTCCTTTTTTATTTTTTTTTATTAAATAAGAACACACGAGGCAAATAGGAATATTAAATTATCAATAATTGAGTCGGTTGCAAGACATATCTTGTTAAGATTGTTCCCTAAATTTAAATCATGAACTTTCGTCGCGTGTCTCAACAGCTACTTCTATAAACTCTTTTTCTATTTTCTATATTTAAACAGTTATGTTCTACGAGAATCTTAGAGGAATAAGCAAGACGCTACATTATTATTATATTTTTTTTCCCTTTTTCATTTATGAAATCCAATGGAGTAACATATGTGTATTATAAAAAATCTGTTCGGATATTACAAGTGGATGTAAAGGCTACAAACAAATTGTTGAAATCGATATCTTTCTTGTTGAAGGATGGACCTAACACATATCTAAATTGACCTTGACTTTGATTCATTGCCAAATTATTAAAAATATTCCCAAAACTCATTATATCTATTAACAAAAAATTAAAGTTTAATTAAAAAAAAAACCATTTTATCTTAAACTCAAAAAGTATCAAAAGAATTATATGATTTGGTACAACAGCATTAGTCAATGTGTGGTTTTCCTTCCTTTCTTTTTTTCTAATTTCTATAGTTCTCAAATTCTTATATGTCATAATTCTCAAGGATAGAAAAGGAAAGTGCAAAGGGTTGCCTCAAAAGATGCTTTTATAAACATATATTTTTCTTCTTTCTTGAACAATCAACCATACCCAATTACCTAACACCATATATTTCTTCACTAATTCGCCAATTAATTCCGCGGTTTTGAAAGGAAGAAAGTAACTTTGTTAGACCTAAAGGGAAGTTGTTAAAAAGAATGGGCCACTCCGTTCATGTTACTCCCTTTTCGATTTTAATGGTCCATTACTAAAACTTTATTAATTCTTTCTCGCTTTCGAAAACATGGGATTGGTCCGAGAGAATTTTGTATTACGAAAATTAACTTAATATATAGTGATCAAATCTCGGCAATGCTATTTACCCCCCTGAATTATATTGTTGCAAAGGGAATTGTAATTGGCAAGTAAAGATAAAGGAAGCATAGAGCGGACTATGTTTTTTGACTATAATTTGCAAATTGATCCTTTACCTAAACCACTCTGGTTTTAATTTTTTTTAGGTAAAAAAACAAAGAAAATACGTTGTTTAAGTGACATTTACCCCATTTAAAAATTCGTAAACTTATTTTCTTTAAACCTTTATTGATTTTGATAGTGAAACCTTTCTTTTAAGGGACATATCTTTTCCCTAGAAAAACATAATAATTGAAACTACTAATAAAAGAGTTAGTTCTTCTACACCTTATAAACACATTTGTTAACCACATTAAGGTTTTGTTTAACATGTAATGATAGAAGAGGAACAGGACCAGTCAAAACTTACACCTACACTTTCATACCTACTAAGCCTGATTAGAGCAACAAATCTATCCAATATTATATATATTTTTATTTGTTCTTTGTTCCATTCCATGCACTATTGTTATAATAGATGGATTAAAAAAAAAGCTATGTGAATCTATATTATAGAAAATTTGATTAGAATTTAGGGAAACTTCTAGGAAAGCTAATGGTTCAATGTAACTTCATTATCATTTATAGAGGAAATAAAATAACAAAATTTAGTAATTTGGCACTTGCACATGTGTGACCCTTTTAACATTATGTGCTTGTTTATGCAATCCCTGACGAAATTCAAATCACAATAGTTAAGAATTCCATATTTTTTCAATAGATAAGAAGTACCAAAATAGTAGGAATGTCAATCTTTTTTTTTAACTTGCTAATTAAAAAACTATATTTTTAAATCTTTTTTTTTTTTTTTTTAAAAAAAGAGGACTATTTTGAGTCTTTCATTGTATTGATAAAAATGACCTTGAAGGTATCTACTTTGTTTTGTATTTCATATAAAACCAAAAATTAAAATAAATAATAGTTTCAATAGCAGTTCATATAATAATATTATGGATTCCATTATAATGATGTGTAATTAAATCAATTATATAACTAGAAAGTATTCCTAACCCAAGATATATTGCTCTTCATATTTTTAAAGATAATGAGAAATCAATCAGATCATTATTTGATATGACTAGAATAAAATACTTATCTATTATAAACGTGTTATTAAAATTCAAGAGATATATACCGATTAATTATTGAAAATTGTAGTTATTAGTAAAAAGATTTTAATTAATGGAAAAAGGTATACGTAGTATTCATGTAAGCTCCCGATGTTTAATGAAGGATTATGAAAATGATTAAGAACCGTTAAAAGCAAAAATCTGAAACGATCAGACAAAAAAAAAACAGTTACCACAATTCCAGGTCTAAGGTATTGACTTTGTGATGCTACTAAAATCTTTTTAACCCTCACATTAATCTCTGACTGGTCTTCATGATCCATTATGATCACTCCCAAATCCCGTGGATTCATCCATCCAATAACCATTTTTTGCATGGCAACCTTTAATTTCAAGATTTGCGATAAAGATTAAATTATATTATTTTAATTGCAATTGGCCAGTTAAATTAAAAATAGCAAAAGTTTATTCTTTAAAATATCTTAGGACTGCATGTTGTTTTTCTGGGAAAAATGCAACAAACAGGATAAGCCAAGGAAAAAGAAATTGAAGAAGAGGAAAAAAGGAGGTAAAGATAAAAGCTTTGGCAGGTCAAAAAGAATGGTTTTGGTTTATATATATTAATATAATATATTTTAATTTGGTTCCAAAAACGTCACCAAATCTAAGAACCTGTTCGTAATGGTCCCATAGCTTCCCAAAACTAAAACCCACCGAAAGAAAAGGAAAAAAAGAAAGAAAAAACAAAAAGGTCCCATATAGAAAGAAAGGTTAAAGACGAGGAACCAAAAATACCTTAACCCACTCGTACTATTCTTTTCTCACTTCAAATTGTAAATCCACAGCAGCAAAAAGCCAAATCTCCAGTCAATTTCACATATGATATTATTTTCATTATAAAAAAGAATCCCCACCAAAGTTTAGTTCATCCACGAAAAAAGTGTTTCCATTTATGACTATTATTATTCTTTTTAGGACACTTTGCCCCTTATCATGCCAAAGGGCAGACTTTGTGGGTTTGATGTCTACTCGACCTTAATTAGAAAGATACTACGGACCCGGATCCATCTGTTAACAAAACAACTTTAATATTTATTTTGGAGTTATTAACAAGAAGTTTTGAATATAATATAAATTAATTATAAATAAAAAGATAACCCATTCCCCACATGAAAATTAAGGCTGCGTTTGGCTGCAAGAGGATCAAAAAAGGCCACAATCCATTTACAAAGACTTGATAATTAATAATTAAACAAAAGTAGAGGATATTCCTTTCTACATATCTTCTCGATTCTCTCTTTTTCTATCCCCCAAAATCCTTCCACATTTAAAAAAAACACAGCCTAAAACTATATAATAATTAAGGAAAATTAAAAATTAAATAAAGCAAGTTAACAAGAATTTTAATTATAAAAGAAAAAGGCACCCCTCCTTTGTGTTTGCTGTTATCCTACTAATTTACCTAAAGTCTTCAGATTTTCTTCTGTTGATGTGACGACTACAACATGCTTAGAAAACTCTCTAGGCGTCAACAAAAATTGGACACTCCTGGAGGTGATTTAGTCCAGTCACCCCACTGACCCGTCACTTGTAGTCTTCCCCAAGTCTTTTATGCACCATAAATCCTCAGCGCACGATAGCATTTTCCAGTGTGGAATTCCTATAACTTAGCGGTTTCGCGACTCGATACCTCCGTTGCCACCAACCATCACATTTCCGCAGCTCCTTTAGCCAAGTTATGCGCGTTAGGCACACAGGCCTTTACCATTTTCACCGCGCGTGGCCCTTCACCTCCAAACATATAAAAAAATGTAATCCCAAAAGGCCTGGCACTGAAAACACCTCGGGACACCAGATAGGTAACCTTAAAAACGTGGGTAACGCTTTTATTCAACCATTCTTCGTCGTTGAAAAAAGCAAAAAACAAGCGCGCAAATACCGCTTACACGGACGACGACAGACCCGCGAACTTTCCGATTCTAAACAACAATCCTTACAGTTCACAACACATAGAAGAACAGCCAAGAGACTCAGGCGGGTCGGAGAGAAACTTAATCGAATCCGGGCACAGGAAATCGAGATTCATAGGTAGCCACAGCAGGCACTGCCAAGAAAGTGCCCAAGCTGGTTTGTTATTAAAGAACGGGAGACAAGTGTCGCGGGGGAAGAAGAACTCGGTGGTGGGAGAAGAAGAAGAAACGCGTCGGTAAAGCAATTCAGCGTCCGTCAAGTAGGGAGCTTGAAACACTGTAACTTTGTGGACGGGGGAGTCGCGTGAGCGAAGGACCGGGTTCGACCAGGATGCGAGGGAGTACGGAACCTTTGGAGTAACCGCATTTGTCGGTGAAAAGTTTAACGGAAGCTTTGGTTTGTCGTTTTCAGGTGCCAAGTAGGAATATTCAGCGCCGTTTTCGCGAAACCATTCCTCTATTTCATACGCACCAGTTTTAAGCCTGATTCCCATCCTCCTGTAGATGGGAAAAACAAACGAAACAAAAAAACAATTACTAAAATTCAAACATTATTACACAAAAACCAAAGAGATGTTTGAGCACACTTCTGATATAATAAAGTAACCTCATTAACGCCTATAAATTGGTACGCAATGCCGTTTTACCGTAATTATTTAATGTGTTGTCTAATTTGGTTATTGTTGTCCAAAGTGGAATTGGAAATGCAGATTTTTTGGAATTACAAACGGCGTCGTCTGCATGCAAATCAACCCCTCTCTTCTCTCATCATTTCACTTTTCATATCAGTTAGCAAAAAAAAAAGAAAAAAAAAAAAAAAAAAAAAAAAAAAAAAAGAAAAACGATTAGGGAATACAAAAGGGCAATTTAAAAACAATGATTATGCGGAAGTTGAGTTATAATTAATAATTAATTTTAAAGTTAAAAAAGTTACAAATATTTTAAAAAAAAAAAAAAAAGAGATACTACCGATGAGAAGGAGAGGACACGAGGCCTAAAAATGAGCGACTTTGGTGGTTAAACGGGGGAGAGTCGGTTGGTCATTGTTAGTGGTGTTTTTGTACATGTCTAGAAAGCTTTTTGCCCCACATGTAACGGTTTTGGAGCAACCCCTTATCATCCCCACTATCTCTCACCCAACCAGCCACCTACTCAATACAAATTTAAAACACACAACTATTAGATTTTAAAAATAATTAATTAATTTAATTAAAACATTAACAACAAGCCAACAGAACATTAAGTAGTAACATGGGTATAATAATTAGTACCTTTCCATTTTTTTCAACAAAAAAGAAAATTCAAAATTAAAGTAAAAATTCAATCAATCATAAAGAAGCATATAAATTACCCTTAATTAATATAAAAAAGTTTTTAAGTTAAATAACCGGAAATGAATGAGTAATTTTTTGGATTCAGTTGTTATTTTTGTGTTTGAACTAGAAAGAAAAAGGACAAAAGAAGTGAAATGGACAAAGTTAAAAGGTATTGTGGGTATTACCAGCATGAGAAAAAAGCAAGGGGAAGTGGCGGACCCTGCAAATGGTTCACCCAAGAGGTCGGTGAAGAGAGAGAGTTCGCCGCTGGGACCAACTTACATTCTTCTCTCTTAACTTCTTCAACACCAACTCATCTCTGCTCGGAGATCAAACTTCCTCTCACAATATCATTCTCTCTTCTCCCATAATTAATCCCACAAAACGAGAAGGAAATGAATCAATACAAAACGCTAAAACTACAACTGAGGGTTCTGTAATATAGGGACACAGGAGGAAGAAGAAGACCGAAGAAAGAAGCGGAAGGTAATAATCAACGTGTGAAAATAAGCAAGGAAAGGGAAAGGAGAGCAGGACGGGGCTATTAGGCTAGGACTTACGAAATCAGGAAACCAGGTAGAGAAAAAAATAAAACAAAAAAAAAAAAAAGAAAGGAAAATGGATATGTTTTGAACAGCTTCATATGTATTATTAACCAGTAACAACTCATTATAGGAGATGACGAGCGAGGAGGGAGATAATAATGACTCTATAAAAAATAAAAATAAAGAAAGAAAGCGGACTTAAACGTTAGGTCGTTTAGCTTCGTCAGTACTTCTTGTTTTCGCTTGCTTTCAATTAGGCAGTTGAGCAGTTCATCATCGCAGAGAAAGGAAAACAAGTTGAATCTTACCGGTGCCTATAAATACCTGATTTCTTGGCCTTTTTTTTATTTCTTTATTTTGAAAATTTTCTATTTCTTTCTCTCTCTGGAATCCCTCACCTCCCCTTTTTTTTTAAAAAAAAAAAAATATTTTTTATTAATTGAGTGCTTTTTGAAGTCCCTGTCCCCTTTGTAATATCTCTTCTGTTTGTCTAGTACTGGGTAACATACTAAGATTTACTAATAATAACATGATTATTATTTATTTGAATGTTATAGTGGTAATGGGGTAGGTGAAATATACTCATCACCAGAAAAATTTTTTATAAAAAAAAAGGAAAAAATAAAAAAAGGGCCAGAAGAGCAAATGGCGGGCTTGGCCTGCGCAGTATGTGGGTGTGAGTTTTCTCTCTCTTCTTGATAATAATCATTTATTGTCAAGGAAAGGAGGCCGTTTCCCATATACCCCATCTGTAATCATTACCTTTTTACTACTCTCTTCTTCTTCTACTTTTCTTTTTCCTTCTACCATTCTATGATCTATCCATCTATCATCATTATCGCATGATTCATCATAAATACTTTACCCATCTCTACTGTGGACCCCCTCCTTTGCCTTCTTCATCATCATATGCATGCCGCATATCGCTATAATTTAGTTTAAGGGAAAAAAAAAAAAATTATTTAGCACAATATCTACTGAATAAATAGATGTTTGCTTCATGTTTCTACAAGGACTAAAATATATATAACAAAAACTTTCAACAGTTCACACTTCTTCTAAGAATTCCCCTTCCACTATTAAAAACCATAATATTATGAAAAAAAAACATAGAACCACCAATTTTAATTTAAGATTATGGTTTTTTTTTTTTTTTTTTTTTTTGGCATTAGATTATGGTTAGTTAGTTTTCCTATCATATATATATATATATGGACGATATATCAAATGTAGGTAAATATTTTTCATTATAATAGATGATATTTAATAGATAAAAGATAAAAAATTTTAATTTCAGTATATTCGTTAATCAATATTTATTAAAAAAATAAATGTTTATTTCTAAAAAATTTAAAAATCTTTTATGATGATATATATTTAAAAGAAAAAACAAGAGAAAATGATATTTTGAAAATTTTAGAAAATGAAAAGTAAAATAACGGAAAAGGATTAGAGTGGGGGAAGGATACGTGGGCAATTCCCAGGAATTTCGACCGTTGATTTATGAGTGGGCTGCAAAAGTGGCTTTTGTCTTTTTAATCAAACAGTGAAAATTTTGCTTTTCTTTTTTTGCTGTAGTTTTGGCTTATAGTTACAGAATCAAACAGTGAAATATATTTTGTTTTATTGGCTTACTGAATATGACAACTCCCACTAATCGCGTGGATTTTCCGATCACCATCGTCCTCCCAATCAATCATGATGATCATAATCATTATAATTATCCACATATCTTATTTTCAACGGCCATGATCAACTCCCAGTATTTTCTGACTCTTCCCATCCCATCCCATCCCATCCCATCTTCAATCTTTTTATCCAGCCACAATTCTAACGCACCCCAATCGCTACTCATGTACCTCAATCTACTAATTATTTGAAATAATTAATTAATTAATTAATTATGATCCAATTTTTAATTAAGGAAGTGAATGCACCATCAAGAATTGGAATTTATTGCTAACATTTAATTATTCTATCATTTGCATTCGGCTGTTATGATGGTGCTTATTATTACTAATAAATAATAAAACCTATAAAAAATAATTAATTTTTTTAACAATATTATAAGCTTTTTGAAAACGACCTAGAATTATTGGAGATATATTTAGATAGAAGGAAAATGAAATGAAGCCAATGACAAGTCATGAGAAGTCAGCATTGAAGTTTCCTGAATTTGGCATATTCATAATTTTTTATTAAGCTTGTATGTACTATTTATTATATATTTTATATATATAGAAAAACATTTTTTATACGTTGAAGAGAGCATCTAACTAATATTATATCAATTATAAATAATATTAGATAGCTATGTTAATACATATATGGATAACAAGCAGGGCAAATGGGACCCTACAATTGAAGGGACCCATTGAAAAATCTATGTGGGTTAGTCCTTGGAGGTTGTTATGTGATTATTGGTTTGATTTTGACTCCTAACCAATGGGAAACTTGCAATTATTGTTTCAAAGCAATTTTTTAATGTGATATGAAAAATACCCAAATGATAGATAGCAATAGGGTTTCTATTTTCTATTTGCTACCTTACATTAATTTTAATTAAATTACTTGAAATGTCTTATCATATTATATAATATTATTGAATTGTAGTACTACATCAATCTTTGTTTTTGCATTTGTCAAAACTTTGGGAAAGTTTAATACACTAATGACACTACTTAAAAGATTAATTTTGCTATATACTTAATCATTTCTTGCACCACTATACACACTTTGGCTCAAATGTGATATTCTTAAGATTAATTAAGATCTAAAGATTAACAAAAAAAGAAAAAAAGTTAATTACTAAAAGCTCGATGGTGATGGGCTTGGATTACATGAATAATAGTAATTAGTCACTAATGAATTTTAAATATTCTACCTATATAATGGAATAAATATTCAAACTCGAGACCTCCACTTTATAGTAATAGAGAGAATTTAAGCTATTTATATTAAAAAGTTGGTCCTTTTAATCAGAATCAACAAAAAGATTAATCCATAGAAGCATTTGATGGTGCCCTTAAACAGATAAGCTAATTAACTAGTGAACTATATTCCATTGACTAATTGCAGCAATTTGCATAGCTCAGGAAAAATAATTAAAATATAAGATATTAGCAAAAACAGTCTTTAGAGCAGAAAAAAAATTCTTCTGCCACTAAATAATTTAAAATAAACTGTATGGGTCAGTTTTAATTGCTTAGTATAAGCTCACCATGTTTGGGTAAAGCAAATATTTTTCTTTTTCTTTTTCTTTTTTAATTTACGAGACAATTATTTTCAGTGAACTAGACAACGATTAAATCCCAGAAAAATATTTTCTTCGTTTATCTTTCAAATCTCAACTTTTGGTCTTCTGCAAACTATTATTTCCATTAAAGCAAAAACAACTAATCATTCTTTGCTATTTGAAATATATAATAATATAGATGAATTTGGATACTTTATGACTAGTTACTTCCAATACAAGCAATAAGATATTTTCAATGTCTTATGCATGCATTATAACAAAAGTTAGAAGCCAAAAAAAAATGGGGGGAAATGAAAATGATTATCATGTGATGGTGACAACAACATTAACTATTACATGAAAAGAGCAATATGTTAAGTTGATTATGATAGTAATATATTATCAACAATGATGGCGATGATGAGGATGATAATGACAATTAGAAATGAATATGTATGTTGATTAGTTAATTAGACTGAAATTAATTTGGTGAACTAGAAAATAAAAAGAAATTAATAGAAGCATCTGAATGTATATTGTAGAAATAAATGATTGCGGGTCAAAATTGGAGAAGCATAATTCATTATAATATACTTGGTTATTGGAAAAATATTGGGATTAGAATAAAGCGACAATGAAATGAACAAGTGAGTGATGAGATTCTTAATCATCATTAAACAAATGGTTAGTTGCTTAAGATGATACTAAGAATCCACCAACATTTTACCGATCATATTATTCTCTGTCTAGATGATTGTCGAGAGCCCATTCGATTTTGGAATCGAGGGAGAGATATTTGGTGTTGATTTCTACACTACTAGGTAAAAAGGAAAAAAGAAATTGACTATGATTAATTTAATTAAACTTAATTAATTAAGCAAAAGAATAATTCTTGGAGATGAGCTAATCGCTAGAGTGTCTCTCCTGTTCAAGATATGGTTCAGAATCTTACTTATTTAAGACTTAAATC